ACCAGGAATAAACAGACTCTGCTGTAAATACATGAGGTTCTTTTTATTACAAATTATTACAAGCTGCAGCTAGAGCCCACACCCACCGCCAAAGTGTTGGGAGCCCAGCGCCCGTGCCCAGGTTAGTTGGGTCATTTAAAGATTCTGGTCCATCCCAGCATGCCCAAGGCAGGGGCAATTCCTGCCTGGCAAGCATCTATTGGTCAAAATGCTACATTTTGAATTGATTGGCTATAGGAAGGTTCCCAGACCATAATGACCTGGTGTTCCTCCCTAGGGGGATGGGCCAGTTTCCTAGCAACTGTATCTCTAGTGGGTGGAGAAAGAATGCAGTAAGGAGGTCCTTCCCCTCAGGGCATTACTGGACTTCTCCACCCACCTAGTTCAGGCCTTAATAGCTGATTTTTAAATCTTTTGGTCTCTCATCATCTCCTCCCATGCTGTACACCTGAAGAAGCTAAGCTAGGTGGAGTGACAGACAGATTTCTAAAGAGCTAGCAGTTTAGTTGTAAATAGATATTCTGTGTATAGTTCAGAAAATAAGTTACCTTGCTGAGCTTGCAAGCTTTTACCTCAGTTTTCACCTGCCATGTCGTTGTCAGTGCAAATATTAGATTAACTTGAAAAGATAAATATTCTATTTGATGGCTCCTTAAAAAGTATCTTGAGTCAGCTTAGGTTCAATTATAGATAAACAGAAAACACCCCCCTCTGTAATCCCTACAAGTCTTAACTATACCGCATCCCACCCAACTGCTAGTCTGGTCCCACCCCAGCCCCAACTACAAATTAAGAATAAAAATATTATAGCCAAGGTTACCTGCAAAGTCAGATGTGCCTCATAAACTTCAAAAGAACCAGGACTCAGGACGTAGAGATGAGCACACAGGGGGGCTTTGTCAGGAATGACATTTTCAGTGGCAGAGGGAAACACAAGCTCTGGATGACGTGTAAATTGTATGCTCCTGATTACCCAACCAGAGGAAGAACAGAGAACAGAGGAAGGGACCCGCATTAGAGCTATAAAAACTATCCTCTCACTTAATCAGTGTGCCCACCCTTTCTGGGCTGACTCCTGGCTTTGCAAAGAAAATTTATTACAAAGCAGTTTGTAGGTCTTTTGATACTTCAGGAAGCAAAACCAACAATTTTTTTTTTTTTTAAAGAAACACACTGTATCTTATTATGATGATTTAGAATTCCACACAATACTGTTTTCCTGCTTGGTTTTATGTTTGATTGGGGAGTTTGACTCTTCATCTGTCTTCTCAAAGACAGCCTATTCAGTTGAGCTGGTTCAGTTGGTAAAGAGGCTGCTCTCCAAGCATGAGGACCTGAGCATATATGTAAAAGCCGTCATGGCATGTGCTCGGAAGCTGGTGCTGTGACCGAGAGCAGGGCGAGAGTGCGGGGACACGAAGGTCCCTGGAGTTCACTGGCTAAGCAGTCTAGACTTGTCTCGAAATATAAGGTGAAAGGTGACTGGAAGACACTTGATGTCTGGGTTCTACACACACGCTCAGGCACCCATACCTGTGTACACAGACCCACAGGAACAGACATACACATTAAGAAAGAAAGAGAGGTGTTTGCAGCCGAACCCTCTAGCGCCAGTGCTGCCTCTCCCTTGCTGAGCGCCAGCCGAAAGGGGGTAAGGAGGTGCCCCTACCATGGCTCGCACAAAGCAGACTGCCCACCAGTCCACCTGCGGTAAAGCGCCCAGGAAACAACGGGCTACAAAAGCCGCTCACAAGAGTGTGCCCTCTACCGGAGGGGTGAAGAAACCTCATCGTTACAAGCCTGGTACTGTGGCACTCCGTGAAATCAGATGCTATCAGAAGTCCACTGAACTTCTGACTCGCAAGCTGCCCTTCCAGCGTCTGGTGTGAGAAATTGCTTAGGACTTCAAAACAGATCTGCGCTTCCAGAGCGCAGCTATTGGTGCTTTGCAGGAGGCAAGTGAGGCTCATCTGGTTGGCCTTTTTGAAGAAACCGACCTGTGTGCTACCATTGCCAAATGTGTAACAATTCTGTCAAAAGATACCCAGCTAGCAGGCCACATACGCGGAGAATGTGCTTAAGAGTCTACTAAGAAGGGAAACATTTCCTTCTCAAAAAAATTTTGTTTCCCTTTTCTTTCTGTTATCAGTATTTCTGAATGTTAGATATTTTTTCCATGGGGTCAGAAGGTACCTACGTATATGATTGCGAGTGGAAAAATAAGGGACAGAAGTCAGGTAGTGGCAGTTTTCCCGTTTTCATTTGTGTGTGAATTTTTAATAGAAATGTAAGGTGTAAAGCATTAATGCAAGTGAAATGTTTCAGTGAGCACATTTCAACAGTTCAACTTAATTATAAATGAACATGTTAAAAGCTTCTGGACAATGCCAGCATTTGGATCTTTTAAAAACATGTAAATTTATTGACAGCAACTAAATGGTGTTTGTAGCATTTTTAGCATACAGTAAATTCCATCCATTCACTATACTTTTATGAGTTGTCCTACATGCAAGCACATGTTTTAATGTTGTCTGTCTTCTGTGCTGGTCCTCTAAGTTTACTATTAAAACACATTAAACTATAAAAGAAAAGAAAAAAAATATAATTAGTCTCTTAAAATGACTTGGGAGGATTATTACTGTCCAGTACTAACTGGAATTCAGATACCAAAAGATGTACACAGGCTGCCTGGGGTTCAAAGAAAGGAACCACATTACTGTTTTGTATAAAAAAAATTAAGATTTATAAGGCTTGCAGCATTTGCTAGCTGTATAACCAAAGAGTTTCAGCTTGTCATAAATATAATTTGAATGTAACCATTTTATAGACTTAGTAAATTTGTATTATATGTCTTTTTCTATATTTCAAATACTATGTTTTTTTTATTTTTAGATTATTATTTTATGTGAACAGCATTCCTGCCTGGAGTCCATGAGATTAGAAGAGGGCATTAGATTCCCCTGGGACTAGTTACAAATGATTGTGAGCAAACATGTGGGTGCTAGGAACCAAACCTGGGTCCCTTTACAGGAACAGTTAGTGCTCTTAACCATTGAGTTATCTCTCCAGACCCAGTGATTTTTATTTTTCTTCCTCTTTGACAAAGAAAGGACCTAGAATATTGACCATACTTATTTGATACTTTAAATTCTGCAGGTGATATAAAAGTAACTTTTAAAAAGTGAAATGTAAAATGTGTTGATAAATGCTTATAAAAACAAAACAGCTGTAAATTTAAAAAATTCCAAAATATTTGCTAAGATCAACTATTCTTAGTTTCTTAAAAGGTAATGTATTTTAGTGTATCAAATAAGTTTCATAAAGTATTAATATGTAAAAATAATTTGATGTTTTGCCAAGAGATCTATGATTTTAGATAACAGGAATGATATATATCTGGAAATAAAGACTTCAGGTACTTCTCATTCTAATATGGTCCCAAAATTGGAGGGACTAAGCTTTGAGTAATAAAGATTGTGTTTGTTTTTGGTTTGAGACAGGATTTGTCTATGTAGCCCTGGTTAGCCAGTACTCTAGGTAGCTCAGGGTAGTCTTGAACTCCTACCAGTCATCCTGATTCAGCATTCTGAATGCTGGGATGTCACCATATCAAACTTGAAGTAGTTTTTGTTTTGTTTTTTGATGCAGGGTTCCTCTGTGTAGTCCTGGCAGTCCTGGAGCTCACTCTGTAGACCAGGCTGGCCTCAAACTCAGAGATCTGCCTGCCTCTGTCTCCTGAGTGCTGGCATTAAAGGTGTGTGTCACCACTGTCACGCAAAATAAAAATTTAAGATGATTATGGAACACATTTGTTCATTAATTTAAAATACTCCAGAGTCTAGAATTTTTAAAAGAGCAGTTTATTTGCTATTTCAGTTATGAGACAGTTAAGAACTTTGTTCGCATATTGAGGATGGGTGGCTGAGCCTAGCTTGTTGGGGCTGTCAGAACCCAGGCTTTCAGCAGAAACTATGGTTACATGTGCAGCCTGGAAAGCAGCCAGAGAGGGGACAAACTGTTCGTTTCCCCATAAGATGAACTCACAAGCAGGATGTCTAGGTTCACACCTTTCACAGGTCGCAGCTGGACCACCTCATGTACCTGCTTCTCTCGCTTCATCCTCTGGATCTTCTGCATCCTCCGCAAGGCCCCATATCTATCTCCCCTACATGGCAGATGTAGCTGCCTCAAAACTCTAGTCACACACGGAACAAGACAGCTTCCATTCCCCAGAGCTGCCTCTCCCCAAAAGCCCCACTCTTGGGTATCAGATTTGCGTTTCAGACCAGACTTGCGGTCCCATCACCCATGGCCTTAGGTGGAGGAAGAAAGAATGGAGTGTGGTGATGTGGTCCAGGACTGCCCCTTCATTAGAGACAGGGGAAGGTATCTTTTCTCTCCCCAGGAAACCCGAAGTATGGCTGCTGCCTTCCCTCCCCAAGTGCTCCCAGTCCACACACCTGTGGGGTCTCTGAAAGGTAATTAAAATGGTTAAAGCTCACTTGGCTGCTATGGTATATGTTTGTATCTTTTTTCTCTTGCTTTAGCTTACCATGAGGAGGATTAAGAATCAACCCCTCCATCTGTCACAGAGGCAAAGGTGATGACTTTGCCTAGGCTCCTCCCCACAGCACACTTGCACACAGAGTCAAGGAAGAGAACAGTGTTAAACAGAATTTCATGCCAATTAAGGATTATATAACTGCTGGCTTAAAATGACATTTAGTTTCTAGTTTCACTTCCTTGTAAATCAATTTTTTAGTCCTTCCTGGGGGAGGGGGAGTTAGAAATAAGCCATAAAGTTACCAGCAACTCCTGGGTTCCAATCCCTGCTAAAACGTGCCAGGTACACAGAAGCAAAGCCAAGGTGCTTTTTCTCTTGAGAGTATTTTAGGTCTCCAAGTATTTCCATCCTTAGAGTGAAGTTCAAAGAAGTCAAGTGAAGGAACAAGGCCTTGATGAAAAGCATACAACCATGAGGAAGAGATGCAGACAAAGCATACTGGGTATTTCCCCCTACCTTTATTTATAAAGGACACAATCTGACACACAAAATGCCAACATAATGCAAAGAGTCCATTAACATCAGTAACAACAAAACGGGAGGGCAGCAGGCCCCCAGACAACACCTGTTATAGCCCACAGGGGAGCCACTGGCAACAATGCCTTGGAAAGGATATCTCACTTAACACACAGGAAACAACTCTGATCTGGAGGACACAAAAATTCCCCCAGGGCAGGAAGCGAGACTCAGTCTTCAGCATCATCAAACTGTCCTGTTTCAAAGACCATCTTCGAATAATGTGGTATCAGTGGAGGCGGATGGTGCCAGCTGGGGTCATACATCATGTCTCCTTGTGGGGCGCAGCACACCCAAGGTTTAATCTCTTGAGAAATGCTCCCCTGGATGTCATCAGCATCTGCACAGTTTCAAAAGACAGATTGAAGGAAAGAGAGGAAAAAATGTCTAGAGGTAAGAAACTTGCAATTATTTTAATAATAGACACACACACACACACCTCTCCTTTCCTGAGGACATGCAAACAAGTCATTCTATACAAAGAATCCGTTTTGCTTAGTCAAGGTTCTCTGAATAGAAAACACAAGGACAGCTGAGCACTTCCGTCTGCAGATGCTCAGCTCAGAGGCTTTAAAATGTTCTTTTTAAAACACATCAACACACTGTGGAGTTGGTGGGATTTGTTTTTAATTTTAAAAAGGCAGAAATTCCAGAGCTGGAACAAAGGTGAGGCTGAGCTCATGCATGTGATCCACTTCTGCTCTGCGCTGGTGGCAGCAGGCAGTGTGAGCAGCTCTGGCTCAGCCCCCGCCGCTCCCGGACACTCCGGACCTACCCCTACCGTAAGGGTTGCCTTGGTCTGCCTTCAGCTCCAAGTCCCAGTCCTCATTAAAGAGATCAGCAGCCTGTTCCATGGGTGGGCAGGGTGGACCTTCCGACAGCTCCCAGCCGTAGGCATCCCCATCAGCTTCCTCGTCAGAACCTGGGGCCTCAGCAGGAGCAATATCAGGAGGGATGCTCTGGGCTCCACTGGCTATCAACAAAAGGAAGTTTTAGAAACTGATGAACTGGAGATCTGCTCAGACGCTTGGAATGTTTCTGGTAGCCCTTTTCTGTGAGGGCCAGTAGAATCTACAGACACAGCTCTATAGTTCTTGAGCACTTCCTTGAGTGTTTAGCTTACTTTTTGAAAAGGGGGCTGGTCATTTCCTTCCAGCAAGATGTTTGTCAGAAACAAGCCCCACCGAGTGCAGAGGGCCTTGCACAAGTGCCATTTTCAGGTAGTTTACAATGAACCCAAAGGCCTCTGGCAAATTTGTACTTCTACTACTCGAGCCTGTCTTGACAAGCTCTTTAAGGTTTGTTAGATGTGAATCTAAGTACAAAGGGAAATGAGAGAATGGGGCTCATCTGGTCCCCCATGTTCTTCCTCCTCAATTCACTAAAGCTATTTATTTAACTGATTCCTCAGTAACTCAAACACGGAATGCTCCAGAAATTCCATTTATCACAATACAGCTCAAAGAACTAAAAACATTTCAGACTGGAAAAAAAAAAAAAAAAAAAAAAAAAAGGAATGCTCATTGTAGCAACATTCATAGTCATCAAATGTCATCAGTGGATGAATGATCAGAAAAATGCAGGGTGCCCAGTGGTGGAATTGCTCAGCTGCATGAGTGACGGGTGCTCACACAGGCTGCTACATGAATGAATGAACCTTGGAAATGTACTGAGGTGAAAGAAGCCAGACACAGGAGATGTGTTGTATAATTTCATGTACTGTACATTCACACTTGCTTGTCCATAACAGGTGAATAACGGGGTTGGGGGGGGTAATCAAGAACCAGAGAGTGGGGAGTGCTTACTCACAGGTACAGGATTTCCTCGTGAAAGCATTCTGGCACTCGTGGCGATAGGTGTGCCACACTGCCCCTGAGCTGAATGGTACCGAACTATGCTTTAAATGGTAACTGTATAGCAGGTCTCTCTCGCCACACTTTAAGACTTCACTGTGTGCCTTAAGTTTCTCTTCAGTAAAACAGTCATCAGGTTGCTGTGGGTTTATTTAGGAAAAAAGGAGACACCTGGATTTGTGCCTGCGATACAATGAGCACTTGGCACCTGCCAGTGGCTAGGATTACACCCATTAGACCTTCTTCCAGGCCAGCAGTGCGTCATGTGCTCACTGAGCACGCTAAAAGGGAAGCGGAATTTATTCCCTTAGCAATAAGTACATGGTGGCTAGTGTACTGGGCACATCATCACGTATCTCCTCCCTCAACCCTAGGAGGCATTATAACCCCATTTTAAAGATAAAGAAAGGCGAAGTAAGTGACTTATCAAAATGCAAGCCGAGGACTATAACCTGGATCTGAAACTGAAACAATCTGACCTAGTTACACACTCTATCTGCCTTCTACTGTCTCAAGCTGTTCCTCCAGTGAAGTGGGGTGGTTTGCATCCATGGCAAGTCCAGTACCTCTTTGAAGCTTCCAAAAGAAGACTTCTACTGAAATAATGGGCAAAGAAGGTAACTACGGTAAAGGGACTGGCTAGCAAGAAAAGACAGACAGTGAAAGCGACTATGCTGTTCTCTCTCCATCCTGCCAAAAGCCACCCCAGTCTCTGCCGTCTACTTGCCTAGTCGATCCATGGCCATCTCCGTCTCTGTCTCCTGACCAGTGAGGTCAGATTCGGCAAAAGCAGCCTGTGGAGGAAGAAATAGTGACCAGGATGGTGGGTATGAGCACCACATCGCTGCCCTGAAGCTCTGAACCCACCCTCCCACACTGCCCTTCAGACTGCAGAGTTTGCACATGCTTCTGAGGACTCAGCAAGGCTCGAGAGAGTGAGGCCTGCAGGCATCACCCATTCGAACCAATGGGAACGCCTTCTTGTCAGTGGCCAGCTGCCAGCTGCCAGTTTTGCTCTCATCCTGCTTCACAAGTCTGGGTACCAGGACTTCTCCAAGCTCAAAGACTCTGGAGCCAGATGGGACAGCTCCTTGGTCTCAGGGGTTTGTAATTTCAGGTCAGAGGAAACCCTTCCCTTAAGTTTATACATTTTAACTGCTCCAACTCCCTATCTTTTTCTTGACCAGGATTGGTAGCTGTTTCCTGCACCTGCTACTTCTCTGCAAACCTCCGCCTTTTCAGTTACTCAATTCTGTGTCTAACAACTCCTTCTAACAAAGCATCTCCACAGAGGTATAAGGGGGGCCAGTTTTAATTCCTTAACGCTGAAAAGAATACTTAAATCCCACTGCCAACCAGGCAATTTTAGGTCCATTACTTCAAAGTTCTTCAAACTTTATTCCCCACAACATCTCTCTCCATTCAAACCAGTAATGTCCAGAGCTTGGATGACTGAATGGATTTCAGTCTTAGCTCTGCCATTCACTCAGGGTGTGACCTCTAGAAACTAGAGTGGTTGTGGAGGTCCTAGATGAAGGAACATTGATGAAAACACCTACTATGGGTTAGAGCTGTAGCTCAGTTGGTAGAGTGCTTGCCTGGTGCACACAAAGCCCCAGGTTGATTTTCCAGCACTACAAAAGACCAGGCACAGTGGGCCATACCTGAAATCCCAGCATTTAGGAGGAGGGGGCAGGAGAATCAGAAGTCCAAGGTTATATTTGGCCACAGAGTGAGCTCAGCTCCTGGGCTGTGAGACCCTGTCTCAAAAAGATACAATAAAATGAAAGCAACAAAATAGTAAAACCACCTGTTCGATTACAGGGAAGTAGCATTTCTTTGACTTAATTCACCTTAATTTAATTTGTTATTTATATTTTTATGTCTATTTGTGTGTGTGAATTGGAGAGGGAGTTGCAGATGTCACAGATGCCTGTGAGCCACTTGTGTGCTGGGAACCAAACCAAGCCCTGTGAGAACACCACGCAGCTGTCTCTCCAACTTTCAGTGCACTTTGCAGCCTACTCTTAAGCTGACTTAGCACCCTCCTTAGTGAGCGTTCATTACGTAGTCATGCCTGCGCCTTAAGGACTCAATTTCACGGCCTGTGGGCAGCGATAACCACAGCTCACTGCTGCCCCCTAGGTGTTGGACCTCTTACTTGAATCTCATCCTCAGCTCCCTACTCCTGCTCAGTCTTAGAGGAGAATCACGGCTCCACGCAAAACCTTCGTGGGCCCTCCACTGCCATCACAGACCAGCAATGCCATTCATATTGCCTCTGACGTTCGTCAACTTGCTGAGCACAGTCCTCTTCCATGAAAGGCCTGCTCTAGGACCCACGCTCCAAGGGTCTCAGCTCCATGCCTTTGCCACCTACCCTCTCACCTAAGCACCTCCTTTCCTGCTCCGCCCTGACAGAATCAGTCTCCTCCTATTTTGCAAAAGTAATTTTCGGTGCAAATCCACTGCTTACTGTCGCTGCAAGTACCGTCTTTGATGCTCAAGGAAGCACTCCATTCATACACCCAATTAACATGTACGTTGTACCAGGCTCAAGGCGTGGCTTCTGGTAAACAGGGTGCCTACAGTCGCGAGGCTCGCTGTAGAGGTGCATGCCCATAAGGGCAGGTCACGGGAAAAGCCTTGTGGCGCGCACTTGAAAACAAGTTTCTAGAAACCCGTGTCACAAGGGCCCTTTCCTTTTATCAAATGGGGGGGGGGGGGAAGCACGGGTGACATCTGGCGCCCGGGGTCAGGTGCACATCCTCACCAAAGGCCAGGGGTCCTCAACGTAAAAAAAAGAAAAATTCCGTTTCCCTGCCGCTCCCACCTGATCCCGGCCCCCTGCTGCGGGATCGGGGCCAGCAGCTCCACCTTCCTTCCATTCGCTCCCGCAGAGGCTCTCGAGCAGCCCCGGGGCTCCTCTCCCTCCAGCGCCCGCCACAACCCCTAGGGCTTCGGGTCCACCCGCGCGCGTTCCCGCGCCCGCCGTTACCGGCCGGGCTGTGCGCGTGCCCGCGCGGCCCCGGCGTTTCCCCGGCGAGCGGCGTCCCCGCAACGCGCGAGCCCCGCAGCCCCGGTGGCCTCGGGTGCCCGCGCCCGCCCGCCCGCCCGCCCCGTGGCGCTCACCTCCGCGCTGGGGGCCTCCCGAGCGCTCGGTCCGCCCGGCCCCGGCCCCGTGGCCGCCTGAGGGTCCATGCCCCGCCGCCCACAGCCGAGGCGCCCGGGACGCTCCGGCACGTGACGGCCGACAGGCTGCGGGAGGGGCCAATCGGCGCGGCGCTGCCGCCGAGGGGGCGGGGCGGCGCAGGGCAGCGCCGGACGACACGCCCACCTGCCGGGCGTGCGGACCGGGGCTCCCCGGACGGCCGGCGCCCGCGTAGAGCCTCAGGCCGCCGGCGGGGCACTGGGCTTTCCCCGCTGCGGTGTGAAATGACCCGAGAGCGTGTGAAGCCCAGCGGCAGCACAGGGTTTTCCAGGTCGCAGGCTGAGACTGGACTACAGCATCCAAGAAGGAGCAAAGGAACTCAGCAGCCTGGAGACCCGCCGCGTTGGTTTAATGATCGTCTTTCAGGTCAATCCGTTAGGAACCGGGATAAACGGTCAGAACAAAGTGCCGCCCTGAAACATGCTGTGGTTGTGTTATCGGACTTGGAAGCCGCAACCTATGCTCCCAGTCAGTAATATGACTACGTTGAGTCATTCTCCATTTTTGTCTTTTCACAATTAATTGGGCTGTTTTTACTGACGTTTCGAGTATGGGTAGCTGGGCCTGACTTCCACAGGTTATGACTCCCGAGTTCGATCATAGTGGAGCTGACCAATCTCTATTTTTCAGTGGGCAAAGTCTTAATAGTCTACAATCCGGTTGCTTCCCCCTCCTCACCTTGCCTCACTGTACTCTATGCTTTTGTGTGTCAACCTGACACAGTTCTCAGAGAAGAAAAAGCCTCGGTTGAGGAAATGTCCCCATGAGATCCAGCTGTGAGGCGTTTTCTCAATTAGTGATCAACGGGGCAGGGACATCCCTGGTTTGGTGTCCTGGGTTCTATAAGAAAGCAGCTGAGCAAGCCATGAGGAGCAAGCGAGTAAGCAGCAGCCTCCATGGCCTCTGCATCAGCTCCTGCCTCCAGGTTCCTGCCCCGACTTCCTCCAATGATGAGCTACAATGTGCAAGTGTGAGCCGAATAAACTCCTTCCTTCCCGACTTGGTTTTCGGTCACCAAGTTTCATCGCAGCAATAGAAACTTATTATACTTATACTCAGAAACATAAGTCAGCAGCTACCTGCAGATAGAGTGTGCATGTATGTAAATGACCCAGCTGTAAAGACAGCCTTTACTGCTTCCGTCCGTCCCCAGCACTGCCTAAACGCGAGCAGTGAAGTCGTTCAAGGCATGGTTATCAGGAAAGCTGGCGTTCCTTGCTCCTCAAGTCACCTTCTGACACTGTTGGAACACAATCTCCCTGAAATAGTATGCAGTTTGTAAACGACATAAGGCATTAAACATCTCTTTTTCCCCCGGGTAAGGCTGACTCATACTATTTTGTTCTTCTTCCTTTACATAGACTTTCCTATAGAGGAAGGAATATGACCAGTTAATGTGTGTTCTAGGCTGCTGCCATTACTTCAACTCTTGACAGGCTCTAAGTCAGCACTGCTCAAAGAATCTTCTGCAATGGTAGCAACAAAGGCTCCTACTGAGCATTTAAAATATGGCCACTGTGAAAAGAAACTCGGTTACTTAACTTTAGATATAAATTGTTACATGTGCCATCACAACTATTCCATAATAGGAAACAGGGAAATCTGTGGACAGCAATAACCCAAAGGCGACCCACCTCAGAGCCTTGCCTCAAGCAGCCTACCAACACCCTCCTGGTAACATATCTCAAGGGAAAAAAGTTTGTCTTTTCTAAAATAAAAATACCATGTAATTTAGAAGTTAAACTTTCCAGGACTTGAGTGAAAAGGAATGGAGGAAAACTTCTTATGTTAGAACAGTAACAAGCAGACAACAATTTAGTGTACAAAAACTAAAAATGAAAAGGTACCAAAACACTCTGATATGGCTAGAGACTTAATATATACTAACGGTGGCATCATGAATCAGTAGAAAGACAATTGGTCAAATTAGTGTAAGAAAAAATAATTAACTAGTTGGGAAAAAACTTGAATTGTGCTCAAAAAGAGAAATGATATTCAAAGCATTTTAACAAAAGAAATCACACACACCAGAAAATACCTGTTTTCTAAAAGACAAAAGAGTGGGACTTGAGACAAATGAAAAGCTAAGGTCTTTCTTTTCCCTTTTTAAAATTATTGTCATTTATTACAATTTATTCAATTTGTATCCCGGCTGTGGCCCTCTCCCTCATCTCCTCCCAATCCTACCCTCCCTCTCTCTTCTCCCATGCTCCTTCCCCAGTCCACTGATAGGGGAGGTTCTTCCTCCCTTCCATCTGACCCTAGCCTATCAGGTCTCATCAGGAGTGGTTGCATTGTCTTCCTCTGTGGCCTGGCAAGGCTGCTCCCCACAGTGGGAGGTGATCAAAGAGCCAGCCACTGAGTTCAAGCCATTGAGAAAGCCCCTGCTCCCTTGGAGACTGAGTCTGTGGACTACATCTGAGCCAGGGTTTTAGGTCCTCTCCATGCATTGTCTTTGGTTGGGATATCATTCTCTTCAGGGCCCCCTGGGCTCAGTTTTTATGGGTCTGTTGGTCTCCTTTAGAGCTCCTGTCCCCTCCAGGTTAATGTTCTTTATTTTTTTAAATATTCTTAATATATTAAAAATATCTCAGCCAGATGTGATGGCACATGTCTTTAATCCCAGCACTCAGAGAGGCTAAGGCAAGTGGACTTCTGTAGTGGAAGTTTTGGTTTCTTTGTAAACTCAGTTATATTATGTAAGTATGCTTTTGTTTTAATCCCAGGTGTGGAATTTTTGTTGGGCTTTAGTTTGTCCACAGCTGTTAATTGTCTTGTGCAGGGTATGGCTTTTGCCAGCTAGTATTGGTCTCCCTGGAGGGACATGGAGAGGGGTGTGGTCTAGGGCTCTGAGGATATGAATATGAGAGCCCAGAAAGAGAAGGTGTGGTGTGCGGTGTTGGCGTGAGGCAAATGGCAGTTTGGAGAGACCAGAGACGAATGGTGTGGCACTCTGGAGTAGACGGACAGAAATGGTTTGGGGTGCAGTGGCTTGGAGGAGACTGCTAGCTGTGTTTGCTGTTGGAGATTGGAATATCCCCTAAATGCCCATCGACCCTAAACAGCCAGGAGAAGTAAAGGAGTCTGCACCTCCTCTCCCACTAACCTCTCTCTTATTTAGGGTTGGGAGTTGGGAGGAAGAGGCTTTAAGGCATCCCAAATAAAATAGAGTTTAAAAACAAGTGCTACAGACAACTAGGGCGTTTCCTCAAGATCCAGCCATACCACTCCTAGGCATATACCCAAAAGAGGCTCAAGTACACAATAAGGACATTTGCTCAACCATGTTTGTAGCAGCCTTATTTGTAATAGCCAGAAGCTGGAAACAGCCCAGATGCCCCTCAGTGGAGGAATGGATACAGAAATTGTGGTACATCTACACAGTGGAATATTACTCAGCAATACAAAACAAGGAAATCATGAAATTTGCAGGTAAATGGTGGGATCTGGAAAATATCATCCTGAGTGAGCTATCCCAGAAAGCAGAAAGATGCACACGGTATATACTCACTCATATAGACATATAATATAGGGTACACCTACTAAAATCTGTATACCTAAAGAAACTAATCAAGAGGGAGAACTCTTGCTAAAATGCTCAATCCCTATCCAGAAAGGCAAAGAGGAGAGGCATCAGAAGAAGGAGAAAACAGGAAACAGGACAGGAGCCTGCCACAGAGGGCCTCTGAAAGACTCTACCCTGCAGACTATCAATGCAGGTGCTGAGACTTATAGGCAACCTTTGGGCAGAGTGCAGGGAATCTTATGAAAGAAGTAGGGAACAGTAAGATCTGGAGAGGACAGGAGCTCCACAAGGAGAGCAACAGAACCAAAAAATCTGGGCACAGGGTTTTTTTTCTGAGACTAATACTCCAACCAAGGACCATGCATGGAGATAACCTAAGACCCCTGCACAGATGTAGCCCATGGCAGTTCAGTGTCCAAGTGGGTTCCATAGTAATGGGAAGAGGGACTGCCTCTGACATGAACTGATTGGCTTGCTCTTTGATCATCTCCCCCTGAGGGGGGAGCAGCCTTACCAGGCCACAGAAGAAGACAATGCAGCCACTCCTGATGAGACCTGATAGACTAGGATCAGAAGGAAGGAGAGGAAGACCTCCCCTATCAGTGGACTGGGGGAAGGGCATGGGTGGAGAAGGGGAAGGGAGAGTGGGGTTGGGAGCGGAGGAGGGAGAGAGCTTACAGGGGGGAAATGAAGTGAATAAATTGTAATTAATAAAAATTAAAATTAAGAAAAAAGTTTAAAAAATGCCCCTTTTGATTTGCTGGCCAAGGTTGTCCAAGAGACACTCACAGTATTATAGGTTATTGCTTTTCCCCTTGGTTGATCCTCATGGGTGGAGGGTAAGTTGCTATTACTGAAGACACCATGTACTTTTACACAGGGCCCAGAAGCCCCTGAGCTGGCACTCACCTGACAGCCTCATCCCTGAGGACTAGCTTTCTTGATGCCAGAGGATGCTATGTAAGCTTCCAAAGGAGGAAAGCAGCTGACAGTTCTACCTAGCTATGAAGCCTATGGACAATGACAATGGCCAGCATGGCAATATAATCCTCGGGGAGCCAAAGTGGCATGCATGTGTTGGCAGTACCTGACAGCTCTCTAATTGGACCTAAGACTTGCTCAACAAGAGGGGGATCATGCTTGGTACTGGAAACCTAGCCAACTGCCCACTGTCAGTGAAGTCATGGCTCTTGGAAGAGAACCAACTACCACTGTTTTATTAAACCAGTATGATACTTAACTACACTCTAAATATTTGTCCTCCTACCCACAGAGAAGTACACTTTGTATCCCTCATCAGGGAAAAGTCTTCACAATGGACAGAAAACCACAACCAGTCAAAGCTCAGAGCTGTGGAGCCCAGTCCCAACTAAAACATCTTCATCACAGCTCCCATGCCTAAAGCTCAGGAACCACTTCAGAAGAGGGAGTGGAAAGAGCACAAGAGCCAAAGAAATGGAGTTTTCTGTGCGATTGTGTCTCTTAGGAGTGTCAGAACTACAACCACAAGGTTTCACCAAAATGCCTAG